TCAAGTCTCACTCTTCTCCATAGTTTTCCTCACATTGTGTTGCTGCAATTTTCAAAACCTTTACTTCCATATCAGCAAAGCAATTCTCTAGAAAATTGACATCTGTTTACTATTGCTAAAACCATGGTAAAAAGGTTTAGTATAATGCCAAAGCCTATTCATGAAATCGCTATTCATGCTATTAACGCTATTCATGAAATCTTGTATATATAATATATGTAAATCTCAAGTCATGAAATCTCGTATTTCATCACAAAAATTAGTTTCTCGTGAATTCTGAAGAATCTTTCACAGTATCATTAATAAGAGCAAATATGTTATTCCACCTCTCTTGTATGGTTCAGATTATATCACCTCACCTAAAGACAAAGTTGAGTAGTTTGTTAAGAACTTTTCCTGCTTAGACTCTTCTTTAGCTTGTGGTTCGGACAACATACTTGTTATAGTCTTGCAGAAGTGTTCTCCAGAGTCATCGTCTATACTTTTAAAACTATTTAACAAGTGCTTATCAGAGTCTTGTTTTCCAGCCTGCTGGAAAGCAGCATCTGTTATCCCTATTTTTAAAAATTCTGGATAGCGATCTGATTCATCTAACTACCGTCCCATTAGTCTTCTTCCTATCATAAGCAAGGTTTTTGAATCGTTAATTAACAAACACTTAATCTTTCATCTCGAATCTCATAACCTACTTTCTGATCATCAATATGGATTTCGATCTTCTTGTTCTAGCTGATTTGCTTTGACAGTAATAACCAATAGGTTTTATCGTGCCTTAGAGGTGAAGAGGTTAAGGCTATCGCTCTTGACATTTCTAAAGCCTTTGATAAAGTTTGGCATGCTGATCTTCTCAATAAACTTTCTTCTTAAAGTGTATCAGATAACTTCATTAAGATTATTGAATCCTTCCTTACTAATTGTAGTATAAAAGTTATCCTTGTGGACAGCACATTTCTTCATACCCTGTAACTTCAAGGGTTCCTCAAGGTTCTATTCTTTTTAATTTACATTAATGATCTTCTAGATATTCTCACATCTAAGGTGGCATTGTTCGCTGACCATTTGTTCTTGTCATGATAAGAAGCCAACACTCTCTGATTGCTTGGAGGGGGCATCTGAGCTTGAAAAGGATCTCGCTTCTGCTACAGCATGGGGCTCACAGTGGCTGGTGAACTTTAATTCAGATAAAACTCAATTTTTTTTTAAGCCAATTGTTATTGCAATAATTTATATCCTATATTTATGAATGGTGATGTACTCGATGACTCTACCCTTCATCTTCTAGAATTAACTCTTACTTCCAATCTTTCTTGGAAACCATATATCAAATTCATTGCAAAATTAGCTTCTGCTAAGGTTGCATCACTTTATTTTGCTCAACACTTTCTTACTTTAGACTCTATTCTTTATCTCTATAAATCTCAAATCCGTCCTTGTATGGAATGCTGTTGTCATATCTGGGGCAGATCTTCTAATGATGTGTTTTCTCTTTTAGACAAGGTGCAAAAACGCATTATAAAATAGTTAGACTTTCTCTTGCCATTAACCTCCATCTACTTGATCTACATCATACCTACATCTACCTGATTGTTGTAATGCTGCTTCTCCTTCTCTTTTCTACGAACACTATAATGGACAACGCTCTAAAGAGCTAGTGTCTCTTGTGCCATCTACTAAAATTCAATCTTGTGTTAATCGTCATTCAATTAAGTCATCCTTTTTCTGTGACTGTTCCCAAGCGCTCCAAAAACTCCTATTTGTCTTGTTTTTTTCCTTGAACATCAGTTTATTGGAATTCGCTTCCTTCTTGCTTTCCTAATTCATATTCTCTTTTTGGAGTTTCATTGGCAGAAAAGTTTTTATTATTTTGACAACTTTCCCAGATAAGTTTTATAAGAATCCATCAAAGATAACTTCAATGCTGGGGTTGTCAATCAAGTATAAATTTAATGCTGCTTTAATTTAATGCTGGACAGTAAAGTTTTAATTATTTTGACAACTTTCCAACATAAACTAATTTAAGGAGAGATATAGTTAATAATAATTATTTGTTAGCATCAAACAAGTGGTAAAGGAGAAAATTTAGCTGTAGCTGAACATTCCAAAATTTGCCAAAGAAATTTCCACTGGAATGGTCGCATTACCTTAAAAATAAAAATAAATAGTTTTAATAGAAAAGTTAGGGAAGCATTGGAAATACAACACAATGAAAGTACCTTTTGCAACAATGGTCTTAACCGGCATCATTGCTTCATAAATTTAAACAGTTTTGTATAGTATAGCAGTTTCATCTTTTATAACGGTTTTTATTATACTTGATAATGATGGTATCAATATTCCTCGAAATATCATAAAAGTAAATATATTTTTAACAAATAGAAATAAATCCATAAAAAGATGTTTTATTTTAAAATCTCACTGAGTCATCTTTTTTACATCTCCTTGTATTATTGTTTGCTATTAACCTTTCATGTAAACCATATACACAATTGATTGCTAAGGT